TTTTTTTTTTTTCTTCCTGTATATTTATATTCAAATGCAGAACAAGTTAGCAGCACAGTCTTGCACTGAAACCTTTGTGTGTAAACAGAATTATGTAATTCATACTAACAAAGGCGGGACAGCTCACATTTTCATTTATTTCTTTTCTGTTCTAACAGGCGATCTCCCAGAGACCTGGATTAGTGAAAGATCCACACCGCTGGCTTGCTGAGACAAAGGTATTTGGACTGCACGAAGTCGTACTGTGAACCTTTCCTTTGTGCCTCTATGAATCAGAATTTGATATTTTACTGCATTTTTTAAATTAAGGTACACTATTTATTAGGCCTGTCGCGATAAACGATAAATAATTAATCACATGATAAATGAAAATTATCGACCTCATTTTCATTTATCGGCTTTATCATTTCTTCGTGTCTTTTTCTACTGAAGACACTGGATGACAGAAGGCTCAACTCTGGTGCTCTTCACTGACCCCTCCTTTTCTCTTTAAAATCCATTTTAACCATCCAGAATCGCATTTTTTGGATCGTTAAAAGCAGCTAAGCTGAGAAGCTAAGCTACGAGCTAAGCTAACAGGCTGACCTCTGGAAAAAACCTCCGTCTTGTCAAAGCTCCAAAATTCACAGTTGAAACCCGTGCCTTCGTGTAAGAAATTGTTTTTCTCTGCAAAAAGAAGCTGAGAATTTGGTTACTGAATTTTTTTATTAAAATCTTTGTGTGATAAATGCTATACTAAAGAGCTCAAACCACACAGAGCGTCTGCCATTTTGAGAACCGAAAAAAGGAAGGAGAGAAAGCCCATGTCACATCAAGGGGCCTCCCTCCTATTTTTCTTAAAGAGACCCGCTGCTCGCTCCCTCACTATCCATCCTTTGGTCCAAACAGTCTTATACTGCCATCCAGTGGTCAAAAAAGGTACTACACTCACAACAAATTAACTAACATTTCTTCTTAAATTTGACAATAATTACTAATTATTGTCAAATTTCAAACAATATTATTATTTATCACAATAATTTCTGAGACAATTAATAGCCCAGCAAAATTTGTTTTCGTGACAGGCCTACTATTTATGTGACAGTTTGATTTGACATACAGCAATGGATATGAGCTCAACGTGATAGATCAGCTCTTTTGAAGTACGGTTCTATAGACATTTATGAACAATTAAGATCTTACTTGTCGTAGATAATTCTTTGAACAACACCAAAGTTCATGCTCATTAATACAGATATAAATCCAGTAATGCTCATTCAGGTCATCTGGAAGGTTTCTTTTGTTGCTGAGACGTTTCGTCTTTCATTCAAAGGACTTCTTCTTTGAACAACCTCAGCTTGTAGAAACAAAGTTTAGTTCTGACCTGACTGACAAGCTAATATCTAGCCCGAGCGATGGTAAGACCAAAGTCTTAACATCCGTGCGGCAGCGTTAAAACAACTGTCAAAACATTTTCATACAAGTTCATGTGAACCCTATTTACTAAACCAGCATTGCTAACAATAAATAAGTCAGGACCTATATAAGTAGATAAGTAGTATCTTACTGGACTGACTGTTCAAGACTAGTTCACAACTCAGAATTGCAAGAAAATAGTTGAATATTTTGTTACAGTCTCACCAGATTCTGTGTTCACGACCAGCAACCTGCCACCTCATATTGCACGGTCAATTTTAGGAAACATGGCATTTTTTTCCTTGTTTTCTTTTTCTTTTTTTGGAAAGCATGACAGACCTATGACGGAGCTTTAGGGCCACGCTAAGAAAAAATTAATTACATTACAAGGGAGAATAAAGTCATAGTATTACAAGAATAAATTTGAAATAATACGAGGATAAAGTCGTAATATTACAAGAATAAAGTCGTAGTATCATGAGAATAAACTCGTAATATTACCAGAATAAAGTCGTAATATTATCAGAACTCCGACATGAAAAAGCAGTCTTACAACTGCAGTAAAATGATGAATGTTGATTTCAGCAGTGCAATCGCAGTGGGCCCAAAACACTGTTGCATATAGAGTCTTATGATAAACTGAAGCCGTATTGCATTACTATTAATGGCTGCATTGATGGATTTAGTCGTAACATAATGTGGATGGAGGCATATTTCACAAACAGTGACCCAAAAGGGATCGGGGACTACTTCATAAACACAATGACTCAGCAGGTGCAAGTAGATCCAGGACATATGGCGAGTTTATTCTCCTAATATTATAACTTTATTCTCGTATTCGACTTTAGGTATTTGGACTGCATGAAGTCTTTCTGTGAGCCTTTCCTTTGTGCCTCTATGAATCAGAATTCATGATATTTTGCTGCATGTTACGACTTTATTCTCGTAATTTACGATTTTATTCTTGTAATTTATGATTTTATTCTCGTAAATTACGATTTTATTCTCGAAATATTATGACTTTATTCTCCTAATATTATGAGAATAAAATCGTAATATTACAAGAATAAAGTCATAATATTACGAGAATTATGTTGTAATATTACGAGTTCATTCTCATAATTTTATGACTTTTTTCTTGTAATATTACGACTTCATTCTCGTAATTTTATGACATTTTTCTAGTAATGTAATTTTTTTTCTTAGCGTGGTCCTAAAGCTCCGTCGTACAAAACAGCGTTTATGCTTGTGCACATTATTTGGCTACCCACATCGTACCCCACTCAGGTGGCTTTGATGAGTCCAGCTAGAGGCAAGAGGTGGAACACCTGGAGAGCTGGTGCAAAAAGAATAACCTTCACATCAATGTGAAGAAGACAAAGAAGATACCGTACCATACCATTTTATTTATAGAGCACTTAAAACAGCGACAAGGCCAACCAAAGTGCTGTACATGCAGAAAAACAGGCAACACACAAAGCAATGTACAAAATGAGATAAATCAAAATATAGACATAAAAACGATGCAGATAATAAATATGACGACTAACCAGTGTGGAGCATACAGGATCAAAACACAGATCATCTGGTGTTGAAAGCTACGGAATAGTAGTGAGTTTTTAAACGGGACTTGAAAACCAAGAGGGAGGGGGCCTGTCTGACAAGCAGAGGCAACTCGTTCCAAAGTCTTGGGCCTGCTACAGAGAAGGCCCTGTCACCTCTGCGCTTAAGACGAGTTCCTGGAACTGTGAGGAGCAACTGGTCCGCTGACCTCAGGGAGCGTGGTGGGACATACGGTTGTAGCAGATCAGAGAGATGGGGGGTGGGGGTGGGGGGCGAAACTGTTCAGCGATTTGTAGACATACAGGAGTATTTTGAACGGGATTCGAAGGTGAACCAGTAGCCAGTGCAGTGAGACCAAAACTGGAGTAATGTGCTCTCTTTTGCCTGTACTGGTTAAAAATCGGGCTGCTGCATTCTGGACCAGTTGTAGTCGTGCAATGGAGGTCTGACTGATACCAAACAGGAGCGAATTGCAGTAATCAAGCCTAGATGTAATGAATGCATGTATTACTGTCTCCAGGTTATTTTTGGACAATATGGGCTTCAGTTTAGACAGCCGCCTCAGTTGGAAGAAACATGATTTAACAATCATGTTTACATGATTGTTAAGTTTCAGGGAAGGGTCCGTTATCACTCCCAGATTAGTGACTCTTTGTTTTTCTTACAGGGTTAGAGCAGAGAGGTCGATGCAGTGGTTTGTGATTGTGTTGTTGGGAGGGAACAACATGACTTCAGACTTCTTTTCATTGCAACTTAAGAAATTTAAAGCCATCCAGTCTCTGATGTCAGCCAGGCAGTTGAGCAGAGGTTGAATAGAGCATGTGCCATTGTGTCTTGGGGGGAAGTAAATTTTACAGTCATCGGTGTAGAAGTGAAAGGGCATGTTGTGTTTCCGGAAAATAGCACCAAGTGGTAGCAGGTATAAAGAGAATAGGAGGGGACCCAGTATGGACCCCTGTAGAACCCCCATGTAAGCTCAGCCGCTGCAGAACTAAAATCCTTGATGGAGACACAAAAGGATCTGTCAGCGAGGTAGGATCTGAACCAATTGAGGGCTGACCCTGTGATGCCCACCCACTGCTCCAACCTAGCAATGAGGATCTCATGGTCGATGGTGTCAAAGGCGGATGTGAGGTCCAATAGGTCAAGCAGCACAGAATCGCCGGTATCTGTGGATAAGAAGATGTCATTAAAAACCTTCAGTAGGGCAGTTTCAGTGCTATGGAGAGGTTTAAAACCATATTGGAATAGCTCTAAGACGGTGTGATCCTCCAGGAAGCACTTCAACTGGGACTCAACTATTTTCTCCAGTGATATTTTCAAGATGATTGTGGACTTCAGAAGGAACAAAAACACCTACACCCCCCTGAACATAAGAGGATCTGCGGTGGAAGTGGTCTCCAGCTACAAGTACTTGGGTGTACACATGAATGAAAACCTCAGCTGGGGCAACAAAACTACCAGCCTGATCAAGAAAGCTCATCAGAGACTCTACTTCCTCAGGCGGCTGAGACGAGTTTGTCTGGGAAGCTCAGTCCTCACCTCCTTCTACAGGTGTGCAGTGGAGAGCATCCTGTGCTCCAGCATCAACGTGTGGCATGGAGGCTGCACAGCTGCAGAAAGAAAAGCTTTGCAGAGAGTAGTGAAGGCTGCACAGAAGTCTGTTGGAGTCAGTCTCCCCACCATCACAGACATCTACACCTCTAGATGCAGGAAGAGAGCCACCTGCATCATGAAGGACCCCACTCACCCAGCACACACACATTTTGCCCCGCTCCCCTCAGGAAGGAGGTTGAGGAGCATTAAGTGTAAAACTACTAGACTGAGGAACAGCTTCTACCCTGAGGCTGTTAGACTCATGAATCTCTAACCAGAATAATCACTGTGAAAAATCACATCATGTTGCTGCTGATCTGTTTCAATGTTGATGTGTTCATGCGTGCACATCTGCTCACACAGCCTCATGTTCATGTTCGTGCTGCTGTTCGACGTGATGTTTTTATGCCATTAGTGCTTAGTGTATATTTAGTTTGTTTTTCTTAGTTCGTATCTTAGATGTTATCATTATTTTTCTTTTACATTTTATTGTTGGATGTAACTGGGACCCTGTGTACATAATTTCCTTCCACCATGTGTACCACATGAGGTGCGAATGACAATAAAGAATCTCTGACTCTGTCTCTTTGTACCAACCTTGGCAGTCAAAGCAAGTTGAAACTTCAGCCTCGGTCAGTGTCTTCAGACATGAAGGCAGCAGAGGTTTTATGTTATGTTGCCATGGAGATATCTAAATGTGCAAAGCTGCCAAATTAACATTTAATTCAGTTACTCTGACAGACTACAGTTTTTGGTTTAGGCAGCTTATTGAAAGCAGACTCATTTTTCACACAGGGTTACTTTGTACTTTAAGTACCTTGGAGCGTTTGTAACTTTTACCTCGGTCCTTTAGATGATCATGTTTTGTTCTGTTTACTTATTGTGTGAATGCTTATTAACCGTTCACACTATTGTTTTCCTGTTTATTTTTATTATTGGCGTTTTTATCCCTATTCCGTATGTTTTTCAGCTCAATTTTAGTTCTGCAGTTTCTGCTTTCTTCTGCTATTGTAAGCTTGTTCTACATTTTCAACCACATTTCAGCTTGTTTCTTAACTAATCTTTATCTGTTTTAAGATAAATTCAATATTTTTGTAGTAATTTCTGCTACTTTCAGGCTAATTTCTTTCTTTCTGCTATTTTCAGCTTGTTATGCTCCTTTCAGATAATTTTTAGCTATTTTCGTGCAAATTTGAGTTTTTTCAGATAATTGCACATTTTTTAGCTCATTTCATCTCTTTCTGCTTCCTGCTGGTGGTTTCAGTCTAGTTCAGTTTAGCTGATTTCTTAATTTTTGTGCTCATTTCTGCTTATTTAAACGTTTAAGCAATTATGTGTTCTTTCTGCTTTTTTCTGCTCATTTAAACTTGTTCTTCCCTTTCAGCCACATTTCAGCATGTTTTTAGCAAATTTTAGCTGTTTTTCAGCAAGTTCTTCTGCAATAAGCATTCACAGCTGCATTTTCACAGGAAATGCAATTTCTCTAGTTGTGTATTCTTTGTACTTGACTTTGTTTGGGCTTGAACGGTAATTAGGTTAATCAGGTCTAAAGTAAAATTGTTGTTTCAAATGGCTGTATACAGCACACATTAAGCTGCACTGTCAACATTTAGAGCAACAGCTGTAGACAATGTAATTTGTTTAGGTTTAATGTAAGTAAATTAAAAAGTGTGCAGCTGTTCAGACTTGTCATTAACAGTGATATTGAGTGTACAGTCGTACTTAAAAGCACCGAGAGATGAATTCAGATAAGAAATACACAACCAGGTATTTAAAAACAGTTATTTTTAGCACATTTACACACAAACTATAGACAACACACAGTATTTCAGCTTTATGCCAAATGTAATTGTTTCATGTTGGTGAGGCTTATTTAATTATGGAAAATATGAAATATTATTAAAATTTAATGTTTTGCCGTCCTTCCATTATTTCTCTCTTACTGCAATAATATTAATTGACTGTTTATATATTTTTCTTCTTCTTTTTTTGTTGTTCAATACTGTAAACTTTCAAAGAAATGTAATTAAAGCTATGCCTGTGATGCTTGGCACTGTGTTAAAAATCATTAGCACATTTTTTAGTGTTTATAGCCATAATTTATATAAACTGTTGAAAAGAGCTGTAAACGATTATAGAGTTAAAATATTTAAGGAACATTAGATGTAATTAGCTCAGTTGTGCAGAGTTTGTGTTATAGTAAAAGGAATTATTTACTAGTCCTTCAGTGCAAAACTCTTAATCAGTCCTCTTGATATTTAACTGTTGCATAAACTGTGGAAAAAATATTTATTTTATTAATACAGCTGAAGTGAGTAACATTAGTGCAGTACTGCTTTTAAAGGTTTATCAACTTAAAGTTATTGGATTTTTTCTAAATTATTAATCAGGGCATTTGTAAAATTGCCAATTCATATTTATTCTTGAATTACGGTTTTAAAAGAAGAAATTTTCTGTACTTTTCTTGATGTGTCTATTTTTTATTTCAGCTGCTTTTTGCTGCAAGGGTTAGTTTGCTTTAATTGATCTTTAAAGCCTGGCAGCACAGTTAAACAATGTATTCTTTTGAAAAGTTTTGACTAATTTAAGCAACATATTTTGAATAATTTTGTACCATAAAATTCATCTTTACACTAGAAATCTTACCAGCCAGAAATTTGATATGTGTAGAGTCAATAATTGATTTTAACTTGCTCAGGAAGTCCCGTATAACTTCATTACGGTATTCTGTTTTGTTGTGTTTTACTCCGTTTTACCAACCAGACCAAGCTGCGCTGGCTCTGTGAGGAGGTGCGGGAGCGTGACACGAAGGAGCAGCGCCTGAGGAGGCAGCACCAGCAGACCAGGGATCAGCTGAAGGCTCTGAGACGGAGTCGAGACTCTGAACAGGCGGCTCTCCTGCAGCGTCTGGACCAACAGGAGAACCTGCTGCACTCCCTGAGCACTGAGAAGAAAGGTAGACCCCATCTTATATCTGCTCGTACTTTGTTTACTACTTTATAAACAAAATATAAGATTGGATTTTCAGGTTGACCAAGTCCACTGCATTAAAAAGAGTGAATATTTACTGAGGTCTTTATTAATTCAGACATCTTAATTTGTCTTTTGGACACAACCTCACAGTTTCTAATTTGTCCATCTAGTCACATCACCTGTAAGAATCATTTCAGGATATTATTGGAGACTTTTTGTGTTTTATTTTAATGGATGCTTAGAAAAACACCCGTGTGTGCCCGCCTATGCACTTTAGACAGTATTTTTACACTGTGTGAACGAGTCTGTCTCTTTACGATTACAAAGGTTCGAGAAAATATTTTAATGGTTTTTAAGCTTCTGTGGCAAAAATATTGTTTCCTTTTTTCATTAGCTCAGCTTTTTACTCAGGTTTTCCTAATGAGCTGGAACCAACGCTTGGTTTTTATTAGCTTTTCCAATAAACAATACAGGAAAATGGACCGTGCGTGTCTGTCATTAAAAGAGAAAAAGTCACAATGAGACATAGATGAAGAAGATAATTGTTCATAAAGACATTCTGGTTGCTGCTCTCTTTGTTATTGTGGCAATATTACACAATCAAACCACCAGTTTTCTCCATTAGGAATAAAATGGCTCACTTCTGCCAAAAATTTGCTGCCTGTTTGATATTTAACAGATTTAAACATCTGTGGAATTTGACTCGAACAGTGGCTAAAGACTGTGACGCACCCATCACCAACAAACATTATCAATCTGCCCAAAGGCCACATAAATGTCCACAAGGCTAATTGATATAGTGATGCATGTGCCATTTGCAACAGCTACTACTTAGTTTGTGTTTACACACACGTTGCATGCTTATGCCTACAATATGTTTGTAATAAAAATGGCTCAACAGACATTCATTAAGTAAAATCTCTGCAGTAAGCTTGGTTCAGATACTTTGAGTTTGTCACAGTGATGAGATAACTTCTCTGTTTCTCTGATGGTTAACACTTCTCTTTAAGTGTGCCTGTTTACGTTCATTCACAGTGTTATTTCACTCAAGTGTTTCCCTGTTCTTTGGATAAATATCAGCCAATATATGCTGACTACTCGCATACTTAACAGTTGTTACTTTATCTTTCAATTAACTGCTTTAAAATAACATTTTAACAGCAAGGGTTCCTACACAGTCACATATGGAAAAAATATGGATTTTGTTGTTAAAATAGTTCAGGGCTATATAAGCATGAAAAAAGATGGAGACAATTTTTGTTTTTGAGACTATATTCCTTAATGATTTTCATAAATTAAAAATGCACATTACTTAAAGAATGCATGTTGCCCACTGCTTTTCATGCCAAAGTTTTTAACCAAATAAATCAGTGAACTGTTATTTCAAAGGGTAAATATTGGGAATGACTCTAAGTTACTACCACACCAAATTGTATCTCAATATCTGTAAAACTTACTGAGTTATAGACAAATAGTTTAGCAGGCAAAAGAACAAAGCAGACAGTATAACACAAACATACAACATACTGTGAGGTCAGTTTTAAGGTTTGTAATGACTCAGAGTTCTATAGGAGATATCAATACCAGGCAAGTATAGTGAAGAGGCATGCATATCAGTTACATGTCTGTAATATAATAACCAGCATAAATGATCAAATACAACTTATTTTAGCCTCAAAAGAAAAACAAGACTTGATTCTAAACGTTCTAACTGGAGTTAAAGATTGGTGTTTTTTTTTTTTACCAGCTGTTAATTTAAAAAAAAAAAATCTTTATCTTTGATTTTGTGTTGAAGAACAAAAGTTTAGTTTTTTATAGCATTCATAACTAGTCCAAAATTGCACAAACTGCATTGAACAGAATTAAAATATTGCTGGAGCTGAACAGAAATGATGGTTTGATGCTTCTCTATTAAGAATGTTGATATAGTTTGTATAAAATACATAAAAGTGGCCTCAGAACTCATCCCTGTGGACCACCTTTGGCTACAGGAAGGAAGTTAGAAGTGATACCTACTTCTTTCACTCATTAAAATTTATTAGAGTTTTTAACCCTCACAAACAACATGTTCTGACTGTTCAAAAGTGATAAATCTTTGCTTTACTAATGTATAATCCACAGTGTTCAAAGCTCTGGAGAGACTTCTGCCTCCGTCAAACACTTGTTATAACAAATTTACATTCTATCAACCTAATTATCAGTTAGTTCATGTTCAAGTCAAGTTTATTGTCATTCACATCACATGGTACATGAGGTGGAACAAAATTATGTTCTCAGAGTCCCAGTTACATCCAACAGTAGCAAAAATATAAAGTATAAAAAGAAATAGTAAATAAGAATCTAAGATATACAATAAGATATACGCTAAACAAAGGCCAAATGGTACTCTAAAAGATCTAAGATTACGCTAAACACAAATAATGTAAAACAATATGGCGTAACAACAGCAGCCCCAACATGAATCTGTGGTGAGCAGATGGATATGAATCATCATCATCATCACGTTTATAAAGCTCTTTAACACCAGTCACAGCTGAAACAAAGTGCTGAACATCAGTAATAAATAAGGTAAAAGAAATTAATGAATGAAAAGGAATGAATACAGCAGCATGAGATCAGCAGCATGAGTTCAGCAGCATGGATAATCATCAGCACGGATGAATCACATATCACCAAATAAAGTAGCATTAAATGTGATTTATTTTTTTTTTTCACATTGATTATTCTGGTTAGAGATTCATGAGTCTAACAGCTTCAGGGTAGAAGCTGTTCCTCAGTCAAGTGGTTCTACACTTAATGCTCCTCAACCTTCTGCCTGAGGGGAGTGGGGCAAAAAGTGTGTGTGCTGTGTGAGTGAGGTCCTTCATGATGCAGGTGGCTCTCTTCCTGCATCTGGAGGTGTAGATGTCTGTGATGGTGGAGGGGCTGACTCCAAATAAGTTAGTCAGCGTTGTCAAATAAGTAGCGATTTGTCTTTACTGCATGGAAATGCACTAGTGTGGTGTGTTGTTTAGTAATTACAGCTAAAAGCGGAATATGTCTAATGTTATTATTATCTGCTTATTTAAACCAAAGAAAATGTGTTTAGGAATAAAAAGTGGTCAGATCCTGTTTTTGCTTTAACAAGACAAGATTTGACAAGACAAGACTCCAGCCATTTAAAAATGAATTCATGCACTTAGAATAGTAATGTTCATGGCAGTGCAACAATTACAAATGACTGAAGACAGATTTGAACTGCCACTCCTCTGAACTCTTACATGCACGTGCTTTATCTCCACAGATTAGGCACTGTTATTGTCGTTGCCACTCGTGTGAAAGGCCATCCAGTACTTGTGTGAGTGCATTTGTTGGTGTCGAGCTGCAGTCTTTTTATTTTGCCTCAGACCTTGTACAGAACTCCCTGTTGGCCTCTGCTCTTAAAAGCAGGTCTGCCCTGCATGTGGAGATAACTGCTTCTAGTATTATGGAGCCCACCACAGCTTTCAGGTGAAACGTGCGAGTCAGCAAAGATAGCAGCACCGCTATCTTTCTTTAGCTGGTTTTCAAAAGTTGATAGAAACAGACTCGGAGTTTGGAGACCCTAAAAGTTTGTTCAATGGGAAGACGTATAGTTTGGAGTGTGTGTGTGTGTGTGTGTGTGTGTGTGGGGGGGGGGGGTCGTCATATATTTTGAATCAGAGTTTTTCATATTTGTTTGCCACAAGGGTTTATTCAGTCGTCCTCAGTAGCCTGGGTGTTCAATATGTGGACATGTCGTGGTGTAAGCATAAAAGTACCACTTGTAAAATGTTTCTAGGTCGTTTTGGGCTTTTAGGCCCTATCCTGTCAGAAGTAATTTAAATATGTAACTCAATTTTCAAGTTGTGTGGTGCCAGTATTGATGCAGCACAAAACTAATTGATCCTGAATTCCCCTTGTTAGCACCACAAGGACTTAATGTTAAATGGTGTTAGAAGATTTCATTTCCTACTGTTACAGTAATGGAAACATTTAATTAAATCAGTCATAATTAATCTGGTTGACAACTTGAAACTTGGATTTGCTTTGTACTATAAGGGGTTAGCAATTTCAAAATGTTTCCTTCATATTTCATTAGGCAGCCACTGTTGTGATTTGAAAATGTTGGCACTGTGGTCAACAAATAGCTTTGCAGATGACAGTATGTCTTCTGTTTGATTTTTAAAAACACATTTACCTGTGTCAAACGTATGTAATGAATCAAGGATTCAAGGTTCTTTATTTGTCCTCGTATTGTAATGAGTCAAAAAAAAAAAAAAAAGGAAAAGCAACCTTAATTTACCAATTTGTTTAAAAAAAAATCTAAGTTCACTCACTGTGATGGACTGGAGACCTGCCCAGGGTGTCCCCCACCTCTCTCACAGTGATAGCTGGATATGAACAAAGTCCATGCTCAATAATCCAGGTATACAATCCAACAATTTTCAGTCAGGTCAGGTCCGGACAGTTTTTTTTTGTTTGTTTGTTTTTGTGCTGAAACGTTTCACCTTCCATTCAGAAGGTTTCATCAGACAAGGAAACACACAACACAAAACTGATTCTTCCACCAACATAATTGGTTTGTTCCACTTTAGAGTAAGCTGTTGGGGGAATAATCAGTTTTCTGTTGTGTGTTTCCTTGACTGATGAAGCCTTCTGGATGGAAGGTGAAATGTTTTAGCACAAAAAAAAAAAAAAAAAACTGTCCAGATTACCTGACTGAAAATTGTTGAATACTTGATATGGGCACCAGTGACCCCCGTGATCCAAAAAGGAAGAAACGGGTAAAGATAATGGATGGATAAGTTAATTCACCTGGACTAAGTGGCATTAAAAGCTCTTGACCAGAATGTTTGTTTTCAACCAAATTTTGTTTTATTTTTGTCCACGTGTACTAAAATGTGTTTGACGGGGCCTTGGATAGAGACTCTGGTTCGGCTCCGAGAAAATTCTGGTAATCCATCAGGCAGCTGAGGCGGGGAAAACAGCACTTTACCAGCATGGTGTATAGTGGAGGGGGGATACAGTTGACTTCAACTGGTGATGTTGTCAGGTGTTGGAAGGAATACTTCTTGGACCTTCTCAATCCCACCAGCATGTTTTACATAGAGGAAGCGGAGTCAAGGGACTTGGGGGCTGGTCTGTCTATAACCGGGGCTGAGGTAGTTAAAAAGCTCCATGGTGGTAGGGCTCCGGGAGGTGGATGAGATCTGCCCTGAGTTCCTCAAGTCTCTGGATGTTGCTGAGCTGTCTTGCATGACATGCCTTTGTAGCATTGCATGGACGTCGGGGGTAATGCCACTGGATTGGCAAAGTGGAGTGGCGGTTGCCCTCTTTAAAAAGGGGATTTGGAAGGTGTTTTCCAATTTTTGGGGCATCACTTTCTATCCTCTCCAGTAAGGTCTAATCCGGGGTGCTGGAGAAGAGAGTCTGATCGTTGGTTGAACTTCAGATTCAGGAAGAACAATGTGAGTTCTGTCTTTGCTGTGGAACACTGGACTAGCTCTTTATCCTCACTAGGATCCCTGATGGGGCATGGGAGTTTGCTTAGCCAATCTCCATGTGTTTTGGGAAATATTTCTTCCATCAGTTTTGCTTTGCACACTTATTCACATAAATTATTTTGTTATTTGCAGGCACAAATAGCAGCAGCTAGTTGTAGCACTTTCATTGCTGCTGGGAGGAACTTCAAACAGGACTAGTGTATTTCTGCTGAAATAACTTGAGAAAAATGTTAAGGGTTATGAAGTAACTCTTGCAAGAACTGCAGTGAAATTTTTGAGATTGCCAATTTCAAGACCATAACCATTATTTCACCCTGTATTCACTGGTTAACTAGTCATCATTAACTTCATGCAGACTCTCACACTGGTACATCACTTCTTGGTCTGTTGCCTTCATATACAGTATTTATTAACCTTTTTATTCATTTTTTTTATTTACCCTTTATTTATACAGGTAGTCTCATTGAGTCTCGAGAACTCATTTTCAAGAGAGACCTGTTTTTGGGAGCAGATGGTGGGGGTTAAGGGTTTTGCTCAAGGGCCCAGAGTCGGGTAAATGAGGGTGGGGGTAGGTATGGGTGTTTCACATTTACCGCCCACATTTTGATGTTGACGTACTGGGAGTTGCACCTGCGACTTTCCGATCACAGGCCCATCTTCTCTAACCTTGGCGCCACCACTCCCCAATAATTTTTTTTTTTTAATCAGGCAAGTCCCATTGAGATCACAGATCTCTATCACAGATCTCTTCTGCGAAGGAGGCCTGAGTCTGAAGGCAGCCTAACATGCATGTTTTTGGTTTGTGTGGAGGAAACCGGAGTACTCGGAGAAAACCCACGCATGCACGGAGAGAACATGCAAACTCCACCCAGAAAGACCCCAGGTCCAATCGGGGATTGAACCCAGGACCTTCTTGATGTGAGGCAACAGTGCTAACCACTGAGATGTCGTGCAGTCATGCATCTCCTCCTACATGTCACTGTGTGAGTGCACCTACAGCATGCGCTTGCAGAACATTATTACATGCAGTGTCCCCTCAGGGCAGACCTAACTTGGCAAAAGGTCTTCTCCTACTCTGCTCCTGTTTCCTGGAACACCTTGCCAAAACATCTGAAGCTCTCAACTTTGACCTCCCTAAGGGATTTTAAACAATAAGTTCATGGCAAAAAACAACAGATATGTTCCTGTTTTTAGTATTCTATATCACTTTATGATGTAGCTGTTTTTGTTTCATTTTTGTTATATAATTTCTTCCATTTACTTTTCATTTGATATGCTTTTTATATGATTGTCTATTGTTGTCTGTACCTCATCTGTGTTCTTTGTTTAAAACAGGTCTCTCTTGTAAATTAATCCTTGTGGCTCAGTGAGACTAACATGTATAAATAAAGGTTGAATGAATGAAGAAAAAAAAGATGGCAGCAATCCCTTTTACTCTTGGCTTGCTAGAACTATTCATTATTAGCTCATAGCTCCTGACAGACCAATACTCTATTTCCCCAAAATGAGGTCATTCATTGAAACTATGGTAAGATATAAATTGCTCATAAGCTTTTCACAGAACCCACTTCTATCCTTTAACATTTGCAAACTGTAATCACAGTATGAGGTGGTTTGAAATAAATGGTTAAGAGATGTGTACTTGTTTTGTGTGCAGACACTCAGGACTGTGTCTTCTGTATCAACACCAGGCTGGGCAAGCCCATTTAATACTGCTGTTCCTCTTGTCATATGAAGAACACAGAAAAATAACATTTGTGGGATTAGGTAAAAGACAAGATCTCAAACTCTGCCCAGGCAAAGGTGGAAGGAATGTACAACTGAACAGACATGTCATTAATGAAGCTCACAGTGCCCGAGTACTACTCTGTTACCATGGCAACATATGCAGAGCGCTTTGTGATGTCTGGGCCCATCAAATCCAATCTAATTGCTTCTAATCACATCTTACCATAGCTTTGTGAGCGATTTGTCTTGAAGACTTGGAAAGACACCATGTTTTTAGGTAGGCTGGGGGTTAGGCTGGGGTTATGAGTGATCAGAGACTAAATAAGTAATTAAACTGAAATCAATCTGAGAAACAATTAGAAATTTTTGTGACCAAATGCAACAATAATTTACATATTTCCAATTATGTTTCAATTCACATTTATCAAATTAGAGAAATTCAAAAGAAAATTGAGCATATATTAGAATCTTTTTTATTTTATTTATTTCAGATTCTGTCTCCAACTAGTCGCAGCCCAGTGAGATACTGGCTTATGTTAAAAAATGATGGAGCTGTAGTCATTTTGGTCAAGCCTTGAAAACAACGTTCACTGTTGCAATATTGCGAGATTTTTAACTAATACAGGTAAAAGAGAGCACATTACTCCAGTTCTTCACTAGCTCCCGGTTCACTTTAAAATTCGTTAAAAAACCCTTCTGTATGTTTTTAAATCTGAACAGTTCTGACCCCTCCTATCTCACTGATCTGCTGCAGCCATATGTCCCACATCGCTCTCTGAGGTCAGCAGACCAGATGCTTTTATTAGTTCCAGGTACTTGTTTTAATCTCAGAGGTGACAGAACCTTCTCTGTTGCAGGTCCAAGACTGTGGAATGAGTTACCGCTGCATGTCAGGCAGGCTCCCTCTCTCTGTTTTTAAGTGTTCTGTGAAAACTCATTTATTCCCTGGCTTTTGACACAGTGTCAGCTGATTTGAACTTGTCTGTATAAGGGCGCATGGTGGCGCAGTTGGTAGAGCTGCTGCCTCTCAGCGAGAAGGTTGCCCCAGTTCAGGGTGGAGTTTGCATGTTCTGTCTGTGCATGTGTAGGTTTCCTCCTACAGACCAAAAACATGCATGTTAGGCTGATTGGTAACTCTAAATTGTCCCTAGGTGTGAGTGAGAGAGTGAATGATTGTTTGTCTCATTAGTCTCCATTTGTCCCTGTTATGGACTGGAGACCTGTCCAGGGTGTCCCCCGCCTCTCGCACAGTGATAGTTGGACATGTGACCAGTGACCCTCACGACCTGAAAAGGAAGAAGCGGGTAATGGATGGATGCAGTCTACAATGTTAGTCATTAGTTGTTATCTTTACTTATTTGGATCTATGTCTTTTATCCTGTGTCCTTTGCTTGTTTTGTTTGTTTTTTTGTTGTACAGCACTTCAGCTCAGTATGTGTTAATTTTTCAGAGTTATGGCCATTATGTTTGTTAAAACTGACCAGCTGTGGCTGCCTTCTTGAATTGGATTGACTTCAAATGTGTATTTACATCTTGTGTATTCAGTTAGAGCTCAGAACTTGTGTTTGGAAAGACTCCGCTACTACCACACCAAATTTTAGCTCAGTATCTGTAATTGACTGAATTATAGTCATTTGTGTTTATTATTATTATTTAGATCTAGTTGTTATGGCGACCATCTTGAATTGGACTGACAATTGAAAGCTAATAATTTTTAGAGGAACATCCACAAATCATCCAGTAATTCATGAGATATTTTGGTAATAACGTGCACACACACGTGGGCAAAAACATGATCGCCTTTCAGCGCTGGACAAGAAAAGCAGTGATAAACCAGTGAATCAGTGAAATGTGTTCTGTTTATAAATTGAGTTCAGAGTTCAGATATTACTTTTCAAAGCTAACAGAGATCTGAGAGAGCAGCTTATCAACAGCAACATCTTATCTCACACAATCTCATCTTCATTTCAGAGCTGCTGGAAAGGAGTCGCAGGAAGGAGGAGGAAATGAGAAGCCTTCAGGTCAGATTCATGTATCTTTATTATTCCGTGCACTATCTGCTTGTCAGCACTTTTTATGTCCTTATAATCCAGTTTCCTTGGTACATGAAGACAGTTTCTTACATACAACACATTTTGCATGTCAGACCCGCCCCCCAGTGTACCTGCCAGGTTTGGGGGGGAATCTTGAGTTTAGTGTTCCCAAACATTTTTCCACTGCTGTGAGCACAACACTCCCCTTGCAAGCTCGCTCGAACAAATAGCTAATTACAGCAGACACGAGCAGCGGAGTTTAAAAGCCACTAAAGGCCTTGTCTGTTTTTCAATGCAGCTACACTTGGCAGGCCACCCACTCACCCCGGCTGGAGTGGATGGCCCCCTGAACACCTCACAGGCACTTTTATTCCCCATTAAAATGCAAAGCAGATGTGTGCACACATCTGAACACGACTAAAATGTCTGCAAAGGCGATGATTTACATGTGAAGGGGAAAAACAGGCTGCACGAGGGACACAGATGAGTTGAAAAGAAGTTGGGGATGAACTGATGGGGGGAGGGGGGACAAACCCTTGTTAGAAAGCGTCAACACGTTCCAGGCAGAGGGAAAAGCAGCCTGCTGCAGGGAGAAGCAGGTGTGCGTTTGAGTGGCAGATAAGAGGCCGAGCATCACTTATGCATCGTTAGTGAGGGAACATCAGTCAGGAGCTGGAGGAGTGGATGAAGCATTTTGTCTTTGTGTGTGTGATAAGAAGCCTGTTGTAGCTAGAGACTTTCCAAGCTTCTGATTTTCCTCTCCTTATGTTAGAACACCTTAGTCCCCTTTTCTACCACTCACTTCGTTTCACCATTTTAATCCGCACTCTGTTTCAAACTAGGGGTGCACCGATAAATCGGCCCCGAGTTCCTTAATTTTGGGAAATCCGAAATTGGCTGATACCTGCACGAGAAACCGATTTTACAGTTTTTTTTTTTTTTAGTTCTAACAACAATTGTCTAAACTCCATTTATATTTCAGAGCACTACCTCGTGGCCAGTTAAAACAAGTTTGTATTGTTTCTAGAATATTGTTCAAAGGTATGTTTTTCAATAAAATTGGAAAATTGAAGGTACATTGTGATCTTACAACACCCGACAGTGTCGCTTATAAAACAAAATCGGTATCGGCAGGTCAGACTTTTTAGAGATCGTGTTCGGCCAGAAAACTGCAATTGGTGCACCCCTATTTCAAACACATTTTGTTAAGTTAAGCTCCACGTGTTAAATTTAGGTTAATAATAATAATCTAGTAGATCTTTATTAATGTTTCTGTAATGTTTTCTTTTAGGATTGTGTGTTGGATCTGGAGATGGTAAGTTTTTATCCATCTAGTTCCCTGAAGTTAAATAAAATGTTGAGTTTCTGAGTGGTTTGACTTTTCTCATATGAGCAGGTTCACTCCAGGCTGTCAGTAACTCAGAGCCTCACACAGGGTTAGAAATGATTGTTTTAGTCAAGGCCCACAGCTCCGTTAGTCATCGTAAGTCTCACTGTTGGTGCTTAGAACTGAGCTGTCCTGACAATACAGTATTGATCTCGTCCTCCACACCACTAATGGCCCCCGCCACATCCTTAATCAGCCATTGGATGGCAGACAGATATTACTTAGCGCTGCTGAAAGGTTATATAGACCAACGCCATTTTTGCTATTCTTAAAAAACTAAATAAGCGATTGAACAGACCTTAGTAGTGCTGTCCATCCGTCACAGTTATTGCACCATGCTTGTGAGCTCATTTACCTTTCGGTCAACTGTTACTGCAGAGAAAAGGAAACGCCTCGGCCTGCCTTCAGCCCCCACATGTCCTGCTGGCTGCACCGGTGCAGAGACAGGACACACTGACCTGTTCTCCACTCAGCCCGGTCGCCTGGGATCATCCAGCGATCTTAGCAGCATGTCAGCGTGCCTTTCAGTGTGATGACGTCTAACAGCCGGCTCTTTTTGGTGCTTAAATGTTCCCCCTGAGTGAGAACAGGGAGCTTATTGAAACTGAGAAAGGAGTGTGCTACAGCTGGAATACTAATATAACAAATGATGGTGCTCTGGGTGGAGTCTGTAATTACCATTTGATTTGACCAGCCTGAGTGACATTATGTTAGTCACATGGTTGACGGGAGACACATTTTTTATTAATACAGTAACAGTTCAGACTCGAGAGAACTTATAGAAATTGTTTAACTGTAAATTAGGAAACAGCAAAGACATTGGTGTTCTCCAGTTTTGGCGTTATGTTGTAGTAAAATCCCTCTACTTGTCCCTAAAGACTGTATCCCACTGGGCTGTCACTGTTGGCGACATATTAATAGCACTTGCTGGGTTGTTTCCAAATTCAATTCAGTTTCAATTCATTTATACAGCGCCAAGTCACAACAGAAGTCGTCTCAACTGAACAGAAACATTCATACAGGTGCTGGTCATAAAATTAGAATATCATGAAAAAGTTGATTTATTTCAGTAATTCCATTCAAAAAGTGAAACTTGTATATTATATTCATTCATTACACACAGAGCAATACATTTCAAATGTTTATTTATTTTAATGTTGATGATTATAACTGACAACTAATGAAAACCCCAAATTCAGTATCTCAGAAAATTATAATTTTTGAATAGGTTCAATATTGACGACACCTAGTGCCACACTCTAATCAGCTAATTAACTCAAAACACCTGCAAAGGCCTTTAAATGGTCTCAGTCTAGTTCTGTAGGCTGCACAATCATGGGGAAGAATGCTGACTTGACCGTTGTCCAAAAGACAACCATTGACACTTGCACAAGGAGGGCAAGACACAAAAGGTCATTGCTAAAGAGGCTGGCTGTTCACAGAGCTCTGTGTCCAAGCGCATTAATAGAGCGGTGAATGGAAGGAAACAATGTGGTAGGAAAAAGTGTACAAGCAATAGGGATAACCGCACCCTGGAGAGGACTGTGAAACAAAACCCATTCCAAAATGTGGGGGAGATTCACAAAGAGTGGACTGTAGCTGAAGTCAGTGCTTCAAGAACCACCACGCACAGACATATGCAAGACAAGGGGCTCAGCTGTCGCATTCCTTGTATCGAGCCACTTGAACAAGAGACGGCGTCAGAAGCATCTTGCCTGGGACTGCTGCTGAGTGGTCCGAAGTTATGTTCTCTGATTAAAGTAAATTTAGCATTTTCTTTGGAAATCAAGGTTCCAGAGTCTGGAGGAAGAGAGGAGAGTAGGGATGCATGATATCGGATTTTTGGCTGATATCTGATATGCCGATATGTTAAAACTTATTTGGCCGATAACCAATGCTGATAACAATATTTTATATACTTTCCTTTGTCAGAACATATCCCTCTTGTTTAGGCTTATTTGTTACAAAAATTGTGCAACAGCTGTAAGAGCTGGTGACATATATTCAGTAACAACCATATGAAATACATAGCACTTTAACATATTATAAATGAAAAGTGTTAAATATTATTTATTAGTATTAGTCACCTGTGATGCTGTCTCACTTGTGGAGGCTTGTTCCAGGTTCTTAGCTGCAGTGTGGGATCCTCTGCACTCCTGTGCATGAAGGACAGCTTTTTTAAGTTTAAAGTTTATGTTTATCCATTGTGCCGTAATACTAATCATGCTAACGGGGCTAACACGACGTCCAAATGTCTGTGGTAAAACTCACCCAACAAGTCGTGCTATCGGCTATTAGCTTCTCAACGAGGTCGGAAATGACGGCTTGTAACTCGGGTAACGTTACGTCAGAAAAATATCTCCAACTGGGGACAACGTAGTCCATAAATCTTCGGAATCCGACATCCTCACCAACAAAAAATAAAACTTCCACACCGCCGACATTTTGAATTTTCCTCTCCACCGTGAGATCGGGTAGGTGCACGTGACATCATATCATTGTTCTGCCACTACAACGTCATCACGTTGTGCTGCCGCTGCTGGCAAAAACAGCGCCTTTTATATCGGCAAGCTATTTTAATGGAATGGCCGATGTCCGATATGGAATTTTAATGCTAATATCGGCCGATACCATGCTGATAATATCGTGCATCCCTAGAGGAGAGGCACAGAATCCATGTTGCTTGGGGTCCAGTGTCAAGTTTGCACAGTCAGTGATGGTTTGGGGGGCCATGTCATCTGCTGGTGTTTTTGGAGGTCCAAGGTCAATGCAGCCATCTACCAGGAAGTCTTACATCACTTCATGCTTCCTGCTACTGACCAACTTTATGAAGATGCAGATTTAATTTTCCAACAGGGCTTGAGTGCCAAAGCTACCAGTACCTGGTTTAAGGACCCTGGTATCCCTGTTCTTAGTTGGCCAGCAAACTTGCCTGACCTTACCCACATAGAAAATCTATGAGGTATTGTGAAGAGGAAGATGTGATACACCAGACCCAACAATTCAGAAGAGCTGAAGGACACTATCAGAGCAACCTGTGCTCTCATATCACCTGAGCAGTGTCATAGACTGATCGACTCCATGCCACGCCACATTGCTGCGGTAATCCAGGCAAAAGGAGTCCCAACTAAATATTGAGTGCTGTACATGCTCATACTTCTCATGTTCATACTTGAAAGTTGTTTCTTTAAAAAAAAATCCTTTTTTTATTGGTCTTAAGTAAGATTATAATTTTCTGATACTGAATTTGGGGTTTTCATTAGTTATCAGTTATAATCATCAACATTAACCCTTTGATGCAAAACATGGGTCAAAAGTGACCCAGATGAGTTTTTATCTTCTATATCTTTGCAATAAATTAATTTCATTATTCAGTATTCAAGGTATTCCTCAATTAACTTGTTTTTGATCATGCTACATTCTTATTTTATTTTTTCATTTATTACTTTTTTTAATAAAAACCCTTTTCGTATCACTACCCTTCTAATGCACAAAATAGGCCAAAAACGACTCGCATTCGTTTTCCAGGTTACTTCATGTATGGTTGAATATTTCTGTGATATACTTTTGAAATAAATTAATTTTATCATTTACTTTTCCAAATATGCAGTCAATATTTTGTTTTTGTTTAGCACAAATCATCTTTATTTTATTTTTCCTTTCTTAAGTTATGAACAAGCACAGATTTTGTAAGGGTGCATTCACACCAGCCCTGTTTAGTCCGCTTTAATCGAACTCTAGCTCGTTTTCCTAGAACGTCCGGTTCGTTTGGGGAGGTGTGAACGCGCCATCGAACTCTGTTACAGAACAAAAGGCGAACTCTGGCCCGGGCTAAAACCTAGGTCTCGGTCCGATAGAAGAGAACTCCAGCGCGGTTCGAGTACAGTGTGAATGTAAACAGACCAGACCCCGCTCCACAAGCAAGAAGTGGAGTACAGCACAGAGCAAACAAACACGCATTTCTCTTAACTCATATGGAGCCGTCAGCTGCCTTGTGTGAAAAACAACATTCTCCATGGTCTTCTGCCCCATCTTTCACTCATGCTGAGTCCATTTTTGAAAAATTACAAAATATAACTCCTAAAACTGTTAAAACTTGATGCCACTCAGTTTTTGTTTTTATTTACAGAAGAAGAAGAAGTGTCTTCAGAGGTTTATGTGTTGTTTCTTTCAGTAGTTCTTGGTGCAGCGCCCCCCACAGGCGAGTGGGGGGAACAGGTTGGTTCAACAGGTTGACTCGACTGCACAGTGCAGTGTGAATGCAAACTCACCAGCTCAAATGTAAACAAATGTTATGAATATTGGTCCTCAACCGAACCGAGTCTACCGGACTATCAGGTGTGAAAATGACCTAATTCTACATCAAGTTTACACACATGGGTCAGAAACGACCAACATGCATTTACTACAGCATTTGGTGGGAACAACTTTTTTACCAGTGTCCCTCTGGCTGAGAAGCTCCTCAAGAACAACCTGGTCATTGGTTGGGACTCTTCGCCAGAACAAGCCTGACATACCACCATCATGAAGCAATCTAAACCACAGGAGCTTCATAGCTTGTAATTTGGATTCCAAATGGCAACACGACCATGGTGAGCTATGTGCAGAAGAAGGGAAAGGCTGTTGTCCAACAGAGCACCATGCATGATGACACAGAAGTGGATAACAGCAGTCAAAAGAAGAAACCAGAAGTGATCCAGTACTACAATAAAACGAAAGGAGTGGACACAATGGATCAAATGATTAGCAACTACACATGTCTGCGGAGAACAAGAAGGTGGCCCATGGTTCTTTGGTACAATATGCTGGTTGCCACACTCGATGCCTACACCAACTTCAGTGCACAACACCCTGATCATATGGGTGGTGCGAGTAATGCACGCCAGCTATTGATCAAGGAGCTGGGCAAAGAGCTTGTCATGCCACATATAAAGAGGTGCATGGAGGGCACACCCAAGCTCCAGAAGCATGTTATTGAGGCAATGGGAAGGTGTGGGTTAAAAAACAAAACACAACCACCACCCAGCTACAAGGGGACATCAGACAGGAGGGCCAAAGGAAAAGGAAGAGGTGCTCGATCTGCCCAGTTTTGAAAGACAGAAAAGCCATCAGCTGGTGTTCCCAGTGCACCAGGCCTGTGTGCAAGGAGTACAAACGCTTAATGATCATTTGTGAGGCATGTAAAACTGAGATGGCAATTTGTGTTGGAGTGATGTGTTCAGTTGTTTTATTTTGTTTTGTTTGGTCACATTTCACCATTTTACAGTTGTTAAACCACAAAGTTCAGTTCAACAGCTGTTATCAGGAGGTATGTGTATGTGTGTATGTGTATGTGTGACAAAATGACAAACATGTTGCAAATACTAAATAAATAACTGTTTGGCCCCATTCACTGCTAAAGTAATTACATAAAACTTTTTTTTATTATAGTATTAAGATATTTAATTTGAAATCACACTTGGATGACCCATGTGTAGTAATATAAAAAGTATTTTTGTTCATAAAGTAGGAAATTAAAAAATAAATTAATGATCTGTGGTAATTAAAAACAAGATATTTAAAGAATACTTGGAATATTCAGTCACAAAATGAATTGATTTCAAAAGATGGAGCAAAGAAAAGCTCAGTCAACATGAAATAACCTGGAAAATGAATGCGGGTCATTTTTGACCCATGTGCATTAGAAGCGGTGTGCATATGTTGTGCATCAAAGGGTTAAAAGAAATACACATTTGAAATATATCAGTCTGTGTGTAATGAATGAATATAATATACAAGTTTCACTTTTTGAATGTAATTACTGAAATAAATAAACTTTTTCATGATATTCTGATTTTATGACAAGCACCTGTATAAAAAAGCCGTTTAATAAAAGTTCTCTATCTAAGGAAGCAGCAGACTCGTTGAGTCTTCACTTCGTCACAGTCTCCCATCCTGAGCAAGCACAAAGGCAACAGTGGAAAGGAAACACTCCCTTTTAACAGGAAGAAACCTCCAGCAGAACCAGGCTCAGGACGAACATCCATCTGCTTCGACCAGCTGGGGTTGAGAGAACAGGAAGGAGAAATAAATGAGCACAGTATGGCAGGTTCAGGTGCAGGTGTACCTGAAAGACAAACATGTCAAGGATAGAACAAATTACAAATACAATCAGGTAAGTAAAGTAAAGACGGTAGCAGAGTGAATAAATATGGTCAGTTTGTCCTCCAGCAGTCTTAAGCCTATAGCAGCATAACTAAGGGATACTTCAGGAAACCTAAGCCAACCCTAAATATAGGATTTATCAAAAAGGAAAGACTTAAGCCTAGTTGTAAAAGTAAACAGTGCAAACTTTTGCAGGGGTTCAGTTTCTTAATGTGTCACAGACCCACCACAAGAATGTTAGACTCGTGGGAAAAACAAATTGTACAACAGGTTTTTATTCAAAACTGTCACTTCTCAAACATTCTCAATTTAGTTTCTGTAAGTCCAGATCGTGTGAGAAATGTGGGACAACTTTAAGAGAGTTTGATGACGTATGAAAACTAGATGACTGACTGGAGTCACGTGATTGAGACATAAAACATACTGAGACTAAATGGTGACAAAAAATGTGAACACGGTTTGTAGAAATGTCACATGAATGTTGCATTTTATTATTATTAATATGTGTCTTATGTACCAATTCAATGTGATTCCAAGTGAAAATTTGAATATTTTCTCACAATATTGTTTTTCCAGCTGGTTGTTGACCGTCACACCCGATGTGATACGGGCTTTATGTACAGTAATAATAATAATAATGTCATCACAATGTCAGCACTGTATGTTTCCATACAATGGCGAAATTAGTCTCTGCATTTAACCCATCCACCACCAGGTGGTGCAGTGGGCAGCTATTGAAAGCGCCCGGGGGACATTTTTGGGGATTAGACGTGCTGCCCAGAGACGCCACGTGATGTGCAGTGACTGGGGATCGAACCTGGGACTCTCGGGTCCCAAGCCGGCTGCCCTGCCTCTACACCATCTCGGCCCCATAGCTCTGCTGTTTGAAGTTTTTGATACAAGACAACAACAGTCGACCACAACTACAACTTCTACAGATGATGATGTTGACAAATGAATTGTGCTCAAATGCTGAACCACTTTGGCGTTTAGCTCTGTCCTGAACTACCATTGCTTTAATCCTTTTATGTCCCTTTATGAGATTTTACACCATTTAGGTTTCTTCTACCAACATTTTGCTTGACATTTTTTGTAAGTTGTATTTTGTGTTTTTGGTGGACAGAACACAAGAGCAGCTCTGGATCATTTGGAGTCAATTCCAGAGAAAAACTATCTGTTGGAGGACTTTAGAGATTTGGAGGTAGGTTTAAATAAGACCCACAACGGTCAACGTTCCTTTTTTAGTGTTAAATGTCGTTTTCAACAGAGCTGGGGTGGTATCCATCTTTTATTATATTTGAGCCTTCCTTAAATTATCCTGTGTAAACATAAACTTGTAAAGTTTTCCTAAAATTGCATGTAACAAAGGGCATTTTAAGTGTTGGATTTTTTTTAAACATTGCTTAGCTTAAAGATGCAATATACACAAATGATTTTTGCACCATGGAACAAAGTGATTTACACAAGAACCCATTAGATAACATCTAGAATAAAAGGTTCATGAAGTAATTACTTTTATTACTGTTACTGTAACATTACAGAATCAATATGTTACAAACATATTGGCCTTAAGAAGTGTTTGCAAATGACAGCTGAGTGCAAACTGATCTGGAGGTGCTCGTAGAACACGCACAGGGAAGTAGGACTGCATGGTTGCTGTCGCCACATAGACTTTCCACACTTTATTTTAGGGATCCACGATATTATCAGCATGGTATCGGCCTATATTAGCAATAAAGTTAAATATCGCTGTTGAGTTTAGATTTGTGAAAATTTACAAATTTGCACCGTTCGAGTTTTGTCATTGTGTTGGAGAGAGTAAATGTCATGAATAAATTTGACATTAAACATAATCCAAGTTGAAGTGTTACATCATTTTCAGCCCCTTTTTGGCATCTGTATTTGGTAGCAGGTCAAACTGACAAAGACCTGCAGAATGATGTACAGTTGTATTTTACTTCCACAGCAGAGAAAGCTATGCAGTCTCTGTAAGTAGGTCTAGGAAAAAAAATATCGGTACAGTATTGGTATCTGTTATCGGCCAAAAATCCAATATTGTGCATCCCTACTTAATATTTTTGTTTTCTGTGTTAACCGTCTCCTGCTCAGCTGTTCTTTTTCTCTTCAGCCTCCAACTATTGCTCCACTATCTATTGCATGAATAATAAAATCAGTGGCATGAAGATTTGGCTCGTGTAATTTTAAGAGGTCTTTATTCAGGAAAACTTTTATAACCCAGTAAAGTGACTTAAAATGAACATGTGCATTTCTAATACAGCTAATTGTGCCTTCGGAATGGGAAGTTGCTTCCTGCAGTTCCCCTCTTAAAAAGTAAATATTGCTACAGAGAAAATACCACTAAACAGCAGGAATGACAGCAGGTTTTTCAGGAAGTACAGTTCTAGTAAATTAATGTAATTACAGTTTTGGAAACTTTAATGTAACAACTATTACCACCCAACCGTAGTGCTCAGGACTGTGAGGACTTTCAGACTTGATTTAAAATGTCTGTGTTTCACATCTGGTTGGTTCTGCTGATGGCTTCATTTTGGTTTGTTCAGGAATCTCAGCAGCAGAAGGAGATTGTCGAGCAGCGCTACATTAAATACAAAGAGATCGTCCGGGACCTGCAGCACCAGCTGGATGAGTCCAAACATAGAATCCAAGAGTACAGAGTACGTCACATGCACACGTCATTCTTACTGAGGAAGAACTTGAGAATTTCAACAACAACAAAAAGTAAAATCAGGTCCTCTGGATGGATTGTTATTGTTGAAACGTTTCGTCTTTTATCCAAAATATTTTGTCAGTCTGAGGAGCTGCAACATACTCAGTCTTATAAATAGCACCTTCTCATATTGGATGAACCAATCTGTTGGTGACAGCCAAAACTAGTTGCTCACATGATAAAGGAGGACCATCAGCCTAATGACTTATCATTAGCATGCTGATGGCCACTTGCTATTCACAGAGGGCTGAGTGATAAACAGCATTGTAAGAGGGGGACAGTTGAACCCGGAGGCCTCCACCCCTGTTTAATGATGGATGATTTCTTTTCACAAAGATGGCCTCCTTTACTCTTCTCTCACACCATCGTTCCTCTCTGTCCACGATGTGAACATCTTCATCCCTGAAAGAGTGACCGCTGGCCTGGAGATGAGTGTAGACCGCAGAGTCCTGGCCTGATGATGTTGATCTTCTGTGCTGGGCCATCCTTTTGGCCAGTGGCTGTTTAGTTTCCCCGATGTAAGACTGATCACAGCCCTCCTGACACTGAACAGCATACACAATATTACTCTGTTTGTGCCGGGGGACTGGATCTTTGGGATGAACCAGTCTTTGCCGTAATGTATTTTGGGGTTTAAAAGCCACTGGGACGTTATGTTTAGAAAATAAACGTCTCAGTTTCTCTGATACTCCCTCAACATATGGAATGACCACTGGTCTGGGTCTGGGTTCCTCCTTTTCACCTGTTGGCTGACTGGAGTCCTGTTTGGGTTTCTTCTCTGCTTTCAGGAAGGCCCAGTTAGGATATCCACATTGCTCTAGAGCCTGTTTTGTGTAGGATTTCTCCTTCTGCCTGGCTCCTGAGTTAGTGGGGACGCTGTCTGCTCTGTGATACAGAGTCCTGGTGACAGGGGTGGAGGCCTCCGTGTTCAGCAGTGCCCCTCTTACAATACTGTTATTGCTAGTATCACTCAGCCCCCTGTAGCAAGTGGCCATCAGGACAGTAACAGTCAGTCATTAGGCTGATAGTCCTCCTTCATCACGTGAACAACTAGTTCTGGATGTCAACAACAAACTGGTTGATTCACTATGAGAAGTTGCTATTTATAAGACTGAGTTTGTTGCAGCTCCTCAGACTGAAGAAGTTTTTTTGGATAAAAGATGAAACCTTTCAACATGATCCAGAGGACCTGACTTTACTTTTTTAGATTTTTTTACCTGGATTATTGAGTATGCATCAGGATATTTAAGAATTTCTAACAAGAGTCTTTGCATCTCAACAACAGCTCTCTTCTGTTATTTCCATCTGTAACATCACATTCTGTTCAAACAGCAGCTCTTTGGACAGAGATAGTCTGACTGAGAACCATTTATGAGTCCAGCTCACCCACACAGATGCCAGCGGGTCGCACTGCACTCATTTGCAAGTTGTATGGATAAATGAATAATTTCATGTGGCGGTAAAGTATTGGTCATAGTGCGCAGTAAACTAAACCTGTACATTACCAGCTACTGTTAATTGCTACCTTCATGTTCTTTGCTATAAATCAATTGAGGGAGCCATTAAGACATCACTGTTGACAGCTGATTGCTGTCAGCTGTTTTTCAGCCTCCACTAAACAGTCATACACTCACTTTTAAATGGTTTTACTCTCATAGATTACTTTCTTGCTTTGCTCAAATGACTCCCGTGTTGAGTGATAAGTGGCAGTTGCATTAGCTTAATAGCTGTTGTTCACTCAAGGTTTGTTTAAAGAAAACGTATGGAGAGAATCTCAGCGTCAAGTTGTTCAGAGTGAGGTGCCACCAACGCATAGAAACAGGAATGTGATGTTTGAAAAAGAAAAGTCCCTCAGAAATATTTCAAACAGCCTTATTAAGCAAACACCTCTTGTTTACAGTCAGACAATTTAGTCTCCTTTGAAATGTATTCTAGTGTTCACATCACTGTAGAGGTGGTAAATAAAATCTCCACCTAATCACATTTTTAAATACATTTATTGCAGCTCAATATTGCAATATCTTCATCCATCCATCATCTTCCTCTTGTTCTGAAGTCTGGTCTCAGGGGACAGCAGCTTGAACAGGGAGGTCCAGACATCTCTTTCCACAGCCTCCTCTTCCAACTCTTCTGGGAGAATCCCAAAGCGTTCCTAGGCCAACCAAGAAACATAGTCTCTCCAGTGTGTCCTGGGTCTTCCCTGGGGTCTCCTCCCAGTCAGACATGCCCAAAGCACCTCCCTAAGGAGGCGCCCAGGAAGCATTCTTACCAGATGCCCGAATCACCTCAACTGGCTCCTCTCGATGAGGAGGAGCAGCGGTTCTACTCAGAGTCTCCCCCAGATAACTGAACTTCTCACCCTATGTCAAACGGAGAGTCCAGCTACCCTGCAGAGGAAACTCATTTTGACCTGTATCCACAATATCATTTTTCGTTCACTTCCAGGAGTTCATGACCATAGGTGAGTGTAGGAACGTAGACTGACCGGTAAACAGAGAGCTTTACCTTACAGCTCAGCTCCCTCTTCACCACAATGGACTGGCACAGAGTCTGCAATACTGCAGATGCTGCACCAATCCATCAGTATATCTCATGCTCCATTCTTCCCTCACTCGTGAACAAAACCCAGAGATACTTAAACTCCTCCACTTGAGGCAGAATCTCACCCTTGACCTGAAGAGCTCAATCCACCCTTTTCCAGTTGAGGACCTTGGCCTCAGATTTGGAGGTGCTGATCTTCACCCCAGCTGCTTCACACTCTGCAGTGAACTGCTCCAGGAGAGCTGAAGATCACTGCAAGACTCAAGCTTGTATGGAAGATTGGATCAGTGTTGATGACTACCAAAGCTAGACTCCTACATCCATTTGTTGTGTCCTTCTCTACGCTGCAGAAGCCTGGACTGAGATAGTGAAAAGAATACGCACAGTTGAAATGACCTGTTGGCAACAACTTCTTCAGGTCCATTTGCTCTCCGACACTACAAATGCTGAGGTCCACCGTAGAGTCCACATCCTCTTTGGAGATCATGACTCTTTCCTAACAGATCAAGAAGAAGAAATTGACGTGGTTTGCCCACGTAGTGAGGGCCACGGGAACTCTGTCAAAGGTAAAAATAAAGTGCTGTGTTGTCACCATTGTATGTTCCCATACAATGATGACATTATTTCTCTTCATTTAACCCACCTGAGATACACCCAGGTGGAGCAGTGGACAGCTATGTAAGCACTCGGGGAGCAGTTAGGGATTGGATGTCTTTCTCAGAGACACCACGACATGTGGGAATGGTGGGGAGTCGAACCGTAACTTTCTGGTCCCAGGTCTGCTGCTCTACCTCTATCCCATTTCAACCCCAAACATGATTCTCCCTGGAAAAGCTGGAGGAACCTGTAATATGGGGCTGCACCCTCGTCATATCCAAACTTGGACAGAGCTCCCTTTGCATGTCTTCACCCGGCCCGCTGAGGGTCAGCCCAGGTGGAGGTTGCTGGTGAATGATGTTTTTACTGCCCCCAAGGCTAAAGGACTGATGATGACGAAAACATACACATTAAATTATAGTTTCTCTGTTTGACCACGTTTGTAACAAAAATCACTTAAACAAAGAAAGCTAAAAGTTTGGTTAAGCTTGTATTTTAATAAAATACAAGACAAAAAGTAGGTTTAAAAAAACAAGATAGGTTAAGTCACAAACTGTTTTATTCTTCATTGGATAGTCATTGATAAAACCACAGACTGATGTGAAGGGTAACTTGTAAATAATGACAAATCAGAGTTGCATGTTTTTGCCTGACAGCGACAGTTTGTAAGTTTTGTTTTGCTTGGGTTTCACAAGTTCAGCTCCAACCTCTTTGTTTTAAAATGTGCCCTAAAAAGACCCCAGGACTGCCCCTTTGCCTTTCCTTGACATCACAAAAAAGATCAGGACAGCTTTTCCCAGTGCGGCTGATGAGGGATTCAGCCTGAAGCTGCTTTATAGAATCTGGTTTGCCAGCCCCAGTACTAAAATATATTAAATAAACACTAGACCTTTTGTTCTGATGTTTTTAACTGCTGACCTCTGATGTTTCAGGATGAGAAGCTGGATGCCACCTCCAGGAGCTTAAGACTGGCTGCTTTCTCTGCCTCCATCAAAGGCTCCACCTCTTTCTTCAGCAGTACGATGAGGTCTGACCCAATATGTGAGTACGCACCCTGTCTTTGAGCGAGTTTCTTGTCTTATTCTCTCAAACCTTACTCTTATTTTAGTTTGTGTTCAAATGTAGATGTTTTTGTTTTCTCTCTCACCACAGAATGCACTGTGGACATAAAAATAGACGTGACAATAAGATTTCTGCCACTTGTAATCCAATATTTTTATACAGCTCAGTGTTTAATATAGGCGTTGCTTGGATTATATATGAAGGGGACGTGTCCCCCTCACATTTAAAAAATATTCATTTGGACCCTCCTTCCATATTTACCATAAAATATCAGTTCACCCAGCACTGTTTCTATTTCTTCGTGAACAAATCCATTCCACTTGATTAATAGGAAAATACTCAAACCACTAAAAGTCCACTCCAGGTTTTCCTGGTTACCTGCAACTCACCACACCGCTTGCAGTGTTTCCTCTAGATCACTTGACTTGGAAGGGCGCTCACTGCTTTGGGGGGTTTTGTCGACAAGGTGGAGGGAGGAGGGGAGACACTTCTGTGTTGCATGCTAGCTTAGCGCTACGTTAGTGCCAGCAGGCAATGTCTCTTCCCCCTTCCCCCACATTACAATGCTTCTGACGGCAATGACCCTAGGTTACTTGCCTTGAGAGGGCGTTAGGCTCTTCAAGGTTTTTGGTGACTGGGGAGGGGAGTGGTTGGGTCAGTTGTTGAGTGGGTGGGGGATTTGGGAGTAGAGTGCTACATCTGTATTGCGCGCGTGGGTTTATTAGCTTAGCGCTACTTTAGTGCTGGCAGTTCTCGATGGGCCGGGGGTAGCAGGGCGCTACATTTGCATTGCGTGTGGTTTGGAGTCTGAGCTGAGCTGATACAATCTCCGCTCCCCATCCGGAAGTGATGGAGCAAAGTGGGGGGGTGGGGATTGATAGGGCGTTCGGTTCTGTTAACGGCCAAGTGCCCTCCTTGAATAATGGTAGGGGAAACACTGCAACTTATAGTTTTCAAAGTCATTTGTCAGCTTAGTTACTACTCTGCCTGTCTTATTAAGGATGTTGTCTGGGAGATGTAGGTGTATGGTTACCATGGTGACCCTTTTGAGCCACTGGCAGCAGCTTTGATCTTGGTTCTCTTTGCATAAAGTTTATACATCAAAATGTAAATGGTAAATGGACTGTACTTATATAGCGCCTTTCTATCTTATTTCAAGATACTCAAAACTCTTTACACTACAATCTGTGTCCTCATTTATCCATTCATACAGCACTTTACTAGATCTCTACAAAGATAATTGAACAAATCTTTCTAAAGAGACTAATCAGTGCTTCAGATCACATTTATACACTAATGAGACACACATCAGAGGCTATGAGGAGTTCAGTGTCTTGCCCAGGGACACTTAGACATGTGACTGCTGGTGGATTTGAACCCCCAACTCTTGCATTGGAGGACGACTGCTCTAACCACTCAGCCACAGCCGCCCCTTGTGGTCATTGTTTACAGCTGATGCATGTTGGGATGTTGAGTAGTCACTGTGTTGGCACCAATAAACATTTCTTCAGATATTTGAGGGATTTGTGTATTATTTTATTTTTATTTTTTTATGTAGATTTTGGGCAATTTTGCGGCAAAACAGAGTTCAATGACTGAAACAAACAATGTTTTTACAGGTGCTGGTCATAACATTAGAATATCATGAAAAAGTTGATTTATTTCAGTAACTCCATTCAAAAAGTGAATATTCATTCATTACACACAGACTGATATATTTCAAATGTTTATTTCTTTTAATGTTGATGATTATAACTGACAACTAACGAAAATCCCAAATTCAGTATCTCAGAAAATTAGAATATTGTGAAAAGGTTCAATATGGAAGAGACCTGGTGCCACATTCTAATCAGTTAATTAACTCAAAACAACAGCAAACGCCTTTAAATGGTCTTGTTCTGTAGGCTGCACAATCACGGGGAAGACTGATGACTTGACTGTTGTCCAAAAGACGACCACTGACTCCTTGCACAAGGAGGGCAAGACACAAAAGGTCATTGCTAAAGAGGCTGGCTGTTCACAGAGCTCTGTGTCCAAGCACTTTAATAGAGAGGCGAAGGGAAGGAAACAATGTGGTAGAAAAAAGTGTACAAGCAATAGAGATAACCACACCCTGGAGAGGATTGTGAAACAAAACTCCTTCCAAAATGTGGGGGAGATTCACAAAGAGTGGACTGTAGCTGGACTCAGTGATTCAAGAACCACCATGCGCAGACGTATGCAAGACAAGGGGTTCAGCTGTCACATTCCTTGTGTCAAGCCACTCTTGAACAAGAGACAACCAGCATTTCTAAAAATCCTTTTTTTAATTGGTCTTCAGTAATGTTCTAATTTTCTGAGATACTGAATTTGGGGTTTTCGTTAGTTGTCAGTTATACTCATCAACATTAAAAGAAATAAACATTTGAAATATATCAGTCTGTGTTAATGAATTAATATAATATACACGTTACACTTTTGAATGGAATTACTGAACTAAATCAACTTTTTCTTGATATTCTAATTTTATGACCAGCACCTGTATATTTCCCAGTCTGTCTAAAGGAACTGGTAATACGATCCTTTGTCTTAATGTTTTGTTCGTGTTTTACAGCTTCTTCTAAGCACCTGACCAGTTCAGACCTGGATGACTCCAAATACAGCACGACCTGACTCTCCGTTCAACCTCAGTTCAACCTTTAACAGACCTTTCTGTGCCTCTCTACAAACACGTCTCTTCCTGCCTGCACTTCAGCCAGAATGAGCTCGACTGTAGTTCGAGCTCTTTAACTCGACTCCTCGATGACTTCTACAAGGCAGTTGGACGTTGCTCAAGAGCAGAGGAAGAACAGATATTATAGCAAACCTTCAGAAACACTTTGAGATGTTCACTGTGAAGTGTTTAAAACGTTATTTATAAGCAACTGTACAGAATGTATTTAAAAAAGCTTAAAGCCAAAAATAGAATTACTAGTAGGTGTTTTGTTTTAACATTTTACTTGTTTATATCGTGTGATCATGCCAACGTGTCTGTGCTAAACTTCTACTGTATGCAGCCAAAACTGGTGCCTTTAGACCCCCTGCTGTTTCCACTAACGTGTTGTAGTGCCTTTATCATGAGCAGGTTTCTCTCTTAACGTCCTAAATAATTTTCATCACAACTACTGTATGTATTGTAGTATATATTTGTACAAAAAACATAAACATTATTTTTATGACATTAAACTTTTAAAATACATGCAGCTCAGATTCTGCAGTGCGCTGTTCTGTTTTAGAGCGTTAGCCTCTGAAGGGGAGATTTATGAGTCTTGTTTTGAAATAAGGTTAAAGGAAATATTTCACATACCTGGTCTGCAGAAAAGCAACGCTCCAAATGTGGCAGCACATATTTCTTTTCTCAACACCAGCAGTTTCCACGTAGAAAGTTCACTTTTCAACTTTAGCTCATATTTTCCTACACAATTTTAAAGCACAAACAACAAAAGTGTGTGTTTTAGCTAACAAGCTAAAATGCTTAGGCTTTATATTAAGCTAAGTAAGCACTAAAGGCTTTATTTAAGAGGAGTGGTGGCGCAGAGGTTGGAGAGGTGGGCCTGTGATCAGAAGATCGCTGGTTCACGCCCCGGTACCGACAACATCAAAAATGTGGGTGGGGTAGGTGAAGCACCCACACCTGCCCCCACCCTGGGCCCATGAGCAAGGCCCCCAACCCCCCATCTGCTCCCCAAACAGGTCTCTCTTGAAAATGAGTTCTCGTGGCTCAATGAGACTACCTGGATAAATAAAGGGTAAATAAATAAAATTAGACATTACAACAAATATAATTTATTCTAAATTACCAATCAGTACATTTTTTTTTCTTAGAATGAAGTGTTTTTATTTAACGTGAGGTGAAGCTCATTGAAGTCGATGAAAAACTATTAGCTAATTCCAACAAACTTTATGACATAAATTATTAATGCAACTTTAGAAATTAAACATCTGCAGCTGAGACGACAGAAAACAACTGTTGTGAACAAGATAATATTTAAGCAACGTTTGCTATTTTTTCATAAATGTTATAAATTTGCACAAAGCTTTTAAAAGTAAATGGACTGTGCTTATATAATAACACCTTTCTATCTGATCAAGACACTCAAAGCTCTTTACAACACAATCTGTGTCCTCATTTACCCATTCATACAGCATTCTACTAGATCTGTACGAAGACTAATCAGTTTTAGATCACATTCATACACTGATGGGACACACATCGGAGGCAATGAGAGGTTCAGTGTCTTGCCCAGGGACACTTCAGCATGTGACTGCTGGAGGAATCGGACCCCCAACTCACATTAGAAGACGACTGCTCTAACCACTCAGCCACAGCCGCCCCAGTTTGTTTTATTATCCAGCAGAACTTTAACTAACATCAGGAGTCAAACAGTTATAAGGAACCAACATCTACGTGCAAATTTTGACAACATTCAACAGGTGAGTGTTTTTCTTGTTCTACGTGGAGTTTTCAGATGGAGAGCTCCTCACACAGGCCACCAAATGCAGCTGAATGGGAGAAGTGGGAAACATGTTAAGTGGTACATTGATGTCACTGTCGCTGAAGGATTTGAGTAGTGAATGTTTGTAATTTTTGAGATGAGTGTTTTTCTGAACTGGAATTGAACAGGGAATGTAAACCTTAATGTTTTTGGTGCAAGATATTCAAGTGGGCAGATGTTGCACTGTGGAGAAGAACAGAGGTACTGGTAAGTTTTTTTGTTGTTGTTTGCTTTTGTCTGAGGCAACAAAGAGTGATGGATCCTGGTGAGTGGAGGGAGCAGTTTTATCCACCACCGGGAATGGAGGAGCCATGGGGTGACCAATGAGGCCTTGGCTAACAGATTAATCTACAGCCACTCCAGTTCCTTCTATCCATCCATTATCTTTGCCGGCTTCTTTCTTTTCGGGTCACTGGTGTCCATGTCCAGTCATCACTGTGTGAGAGGCGGGGGACACCCTGGACAGATCTCCAGTCCATCACAGGGACACATAGAGACAAACAACTATTCACTCTTTTTTTTTTCTTTTTTTTTTTGATGGCCTCCCTTCTCCCCTTACAGCCATCCTCTCCACACCATTATTATGAAATATTTATTATAGTGACATTCTAGTGTAGGTTTTTTTTTTTTTTTTAATAGGATAGAAAGAAAGAAAAGACAAAGTAAGACTCCAAAATATAAGAAATATATACAAATAGAGCACACGTCAAAACACCCGGCCACTGTCTGTTCACCTGCAAAGAACATGACAAAACACAGCAACAAAATACATATGTATAAAGAACTTAAAATATTCATGGCTTTGCAGTAAGTTTCCATAAATATATATATACCCATACCTACGCCTATATACATACATACATACATACATACATACATACATACATACACATGAATATACACTCACATACATATCTATATATCTATATATAAAGCCTACATAAACATCCCTGCTTCTATTTGTGTGTGGTTGTGAGCATGCATAAGTGTATAAGGCTTCTCTAATAGAACATTTATTAGTAACTGTGAAGCAGCAGAGACCCGACCCCCAAGACCAGAGGCAGACGAAAAAGGGGGGACCAGAGCCCAAGACCCCAGGAGGGACCCCGACCGCGGAGCCCCCAGAGCCACCCACACAGGGCGAACCACTCACCCACCCCCCAGAAGGGACCACAGGGGAGAACCGGAAGATCCCCACCAGCAACCACATACAGTGACCCCCCGGGGCCAACAGCGACAAACTCATAGGCCTCCGTCGGCACCCGCCGCACCGATGTAGGTCCAGGTCCAGGCACCGAGGCCCGGGCACCGAGGACTCACACCACCCAGGCCAAGGCCTGACAGGGCCAGAGGACCCGAGCCCCACCAGGCAGACACCAGGCCGAGCCGACACACGCCCAAGCGCCCAGCCCCCGATACCAAGGGCCCCAAGCACGCCGGCAGGCAAGGGCACACCCCACCAGGGGGCCGCGCGATAGGGGCGCGATGCCAAGCACCCCCAGTTGTATCAAAGAGGGGGCAGTCCGAGTCTCGGCCTAACAAATACCCATTCATACACATACACAATCACACTATCCCAACCTCAATCTCACATTCATTCACTCAAAGACATACAATAACGATACATTTCATTCTTATTCCCGATACACACTCTATACCCCCCAGGTCCAAGACATGTACCCGCCCTCTACAGGGGGCAGCCCATGCCCAAACCCAGGAGGTAAACCCATTCATTCTTGAGCGGAGAAGAGCCAATACCCCAGACCCGGCCCAGGCCATGCCCCGCCGACAGGACACCCCCCCACCATGAAGAGGACACGCCACCGACCACCCCCACACACCGCCAACAACCAAGCACGCACCCCCAGCCGACCGCCCGCCAGGCCCCGGCAGCCACCCCGGCCAGCGGGCCAACCATGGCACCCAAGAGCCAAGCTCAGGGGGTCCAAACAACCCCAGGGAGAGCACAGCGCCAGCACCGCCCATGGCAACCCCCAGACCCTGAACCCCCACATAGTCCTGGTCAACACCCGACGGCCTGCCCTTCTCCCGGACCCCACCCCCGGAATGGCAGTGAGGGAACTAGGTGGGTAGGAAGAGGAGAAAAAAAAAAAAATAATAAATAAATAAATAAATAAAAATAAGACCCCGACACATACACCCCCACCCCTAGATGTGCTGTTGATGTGTGTCGTTGTATAGTGCCATTAAAAAGGAAAGAAGAAGGAGCAAAGGCTGGCATGGTGCCAGTTTCCCCTCCACCCCAACTCTATCCAAACCCTAGTGTCTAAATGCAACCGTTGTAAGTGAGCACAGGCACAGGGGGTGAGAGTAAGGTCATCCCACCACCCATAGCCATGTGCCCACCTCAAATTCCTATATATGAATGTCATGAGGATGTTATGAATGAATGTCTAAAGTGTACAATAAAATTGAGTCCCAGGTGGCTATGGTCAACAAAGATGTAAAATTGTTGCAGCACACCCGAGCCCAAACAACCCTAAATGTATGGAATTGAAATGAAGAGGGTGGAGGTGCATGGTGAGGGATGGGGAGAAATAACTGTGAGAGCAAATGCTCCCACAGGGGGTCAGCTCCCCCACTGACCCAACAGCCCCCCCCCAGCCCCCCAAGGTCCACCCAGGGATTGAGGCCAAGACACCTCTCCATCTGGACCGACCGTCAGGCCCGCTGAGCTCCAGACCAGAGAGGGACAGAGCCCCGAGGGCCGCCAGAAGCTGCACCAGCAGCCTACACACTCGAGGGCCACCAGGACCCCCACAGATCGCAGTCAGCCCGCTACCAGATGGAGCCAAACCCCACCAGGACGACCCGGCCAAGAGCGCCCGCCCAACCGCCGACAGTGCCAGGAAGCACCTGGAGCGAGCCCCCACCACAGGAAAGGGGCCAGCCAGCCGGCCATGCACAGTCCCGGGCCGCCCCCAAGGACATCCACCCCATCCCCACTCCAGAAGAAATACTACACCCACCCCTCATTCGGACATCTCTCAAAACACATAGCACACTAGACACCTAGGCTGGGTCAAACTACCCCCTCCTAGGGGCCACTGGTCACACCCCCAAACACCCAACCCCCTAGCCCATGACCCACAACCCACCAGCGAGCCGAAGGCCCCC